TGCATCTATTGAGATGATCATGTGGTTTTTGTCCTTTATTCTATTAATATGGTTTATTACATTGATTGGTTTTTATACGTGGAATCAATTTTCTGGGATAAATACCACTTTGTCATGGTGTATAATCATTTTTATTTGTTAATGTGTTCTATTTGCTAGTATGTTGTTGAAGATTTTTACGTCTCCAATGTCAGTCTACAGTTTTCTTGTGATCTCTTTGTCTGGTTTTTGTATTAAGGTAATACTGGCATCCTAAATGAGTTGGGAAGTATTCCCACCTCTTCTACTTTTTGGAAGAGTTTATAAAGGATTGGTTTTTAAATGTTTTAAATGCTTGGTAAAATTCACCAGTGAAGCCATTTGGGTTTCTCTTTGTGGCAAGCCTGGGCTTCTCTTTGTGGGAAGTTTTTTGATTACTAATTCAACCTCTTTACTTGTTATATAGGTCTGTTCGAATTTTCTATTTCTTCTTGAGTCAGTTTCAGTAGTTTGTGTTTTTCTAGGAATTTGTCCATTTCATTTAGGTTATATAATTTGTTGGTATATAATTGTTTATAGTATTCCTTTATAATTCTTTTTTATTTCATAAGGTCAATAGTTATCCCTCCAACTTCATTCCTGATTTTAATCATTTGAATCTTCTCTTTTTTTCTTTGCCAGTCTAGCTAAAGGCTTGTCAATTTTGTTGATCTTTTCAAAGAACCAACACTTGACTTTGTTGATTTTCTCTATTTTTTATGTTTTTTATTTTATTTATTTCTGCTCTAATCTTTATTACTTCCTTCCTTCTGCTTGCTTTGGGTTTAGTTTGCTTTTTTGTTTCTAGTTGCTTTGGTGAAAGATTAGGTTATTGATTGGAGATCTTTTTCATATAGGTGTTTAAAGCTACAAATTTTATTCTAAGCACTGATTTTGATGTATACCGTAAGTTTTCGTATGTTGTGTTTTTATTTTAATTTATTTTGAATTATTTCAAATTTTTCTTATGATTTCTTCTTTGACACATTTGTAATTTAGGAGTGTGTTATTTAATTTTCACATATTTGTGAATTTCCAAAATTTGCTTCTGTTATTTATTTCTAATTTCATTCCATTATAGTCAGGGAACATACTTTGTATAATTTCAATATTTTTAAATGTTGAATTTCAATATTTTCAGTTGATACTTGTTTATGGCCCAACATGTGGTCTATCCTGGAGAATGTTGCATGTATACTTGAGAAGAATGTGTATTCTGCTATTGTGGATGAAGTGTTCAATAAATGTCCATTAGGTCTAGTTAGTTTATGGAGTTGTTTATGTCTACTGTTTCCTTGCTAATCTTCTATCTACTTGTTATTTTCATTATTGACAGTGGGATATTGAATTCCTCAACTATTACTGTTTAATTTTCTATTTCTCCCTTTAATTTGTCATCTTTTGCTTCATATATTTTGAAACCCTGTTATTGCTGCACATATATTTACAATTGTTATATCTTCTTGATGTATTGACCCTTTTACCATTATAAAATGTTCTTTTTATCTTTAGTAATAACTTTTGTCTTTGAGTCCGTTTCATCTGATATTAAATAGTCATTCCAGATCTCTTTAGCTAGTTTGCATAGTATATGTTTTTTCATCCTTTTGCTTTCAACCAACTTGTGTTTTTTAATCTGAAGTTTGTCTTCTGTAGGCAGCACACAGTTGTATCATGTATTTTTCATCTATTCTGCCTACCTCTGCCTTTTAATTAGAATATTTAATCCACTTACATTTAATGTGATTATTGATAAGGTAGGATTTATGTCTGCCATTTTGTTATTTGTTTTCTACTTGTCTTATGCTTTATCTCTATTCCTGAACTGTCTCCTGTTGTGTTAAATAGATTATTTAAATTTAAATTTAGATTTATAATGATTACTCTATGAAGTTGTTTTTTAAAAATCAGATGGGAGGGGGGGAAAGCCATTCTTCTTGAGTAAACTCTCCCTGGATTAATGTAAGCCTTTGGTTAATTTCCAGCATTCTGGAAAAGTTGATTCTGACTGTTTTTGCCAGTTTTCTTGCTGCTTTTTGGAGGAGAGAAACTTCAGGTTCTCTGCCATTTTTACTGCAGTCACTGTCAATATACTTTTAATTTGCATTTCCCTTAGATGAAATTAAATGTCTTTACTATGTTTATATTTCCTTTGTGTGAGCTATATGTATATATATCCTGTGACCATATTCTGTTAAATGTTCATTTTCTAATTGATTTGTAAAGGTTAAAGAAATGAGCCCTCTGTCTTCAGATGAGTTGCAAAATTTTTCGTCATTTTGTGTTTTGTCTTTTGTTTATGATGATTTTGTCATGGAGAAAAATTTATCAGTCTTTTTAAAATTTATCTTAGTGTATCAGTTTTAATGTATCTATGAGTTCTTTTATGGATTCTGAGTTTTATAACATACTTTAAGGGCTTTTTTCTCTCCACAATTATTTTAACTATCCCCAGTGGTGTTTCAAGTATTTTTTTAAATTTTACTTCTCAATATACATTGTGGTTGATTTTCATGCCCTTTTACCCATTCTCAAATATTTTTTAAAAATCAACTTTATCAAAATATGTGTATAAGAAAATGCACCCATTTTAATGATGCGTTTTGACAAATGTACACACCAATGTAACCACTAGCACAATCATGATTGATAGCATTTTAATCAAAAAAGTTCTTTCAGGTCCCTTTGCCATCATTCCCACTCCATCAATACTACCAGCCCAGGCACAAAAACACTCTTATTATTTCTTTCATTGTCTTTGCATCTGTGTATTTCCCCCTTGTCATTTCTTATTTCACCCTTTTTACTAAGTTATCTAACACCTTTTTGGTCTCTTTTATTTCATTTCATTTCAAAGAACCAGTTCTTTTACTTATGTATTAGTTATATCATTTTTTTCTTTTAAAATTAACTAGCTATTTGAGTTGGATGCTTAATTGTTGTTGTTAAGGGTATTAATTTTCCTCTTAGCACTTCTTTAGCTGAATTCTAAAGGTTCTGATATGAAGAGGTTGTCTTACCATGTTGCCTGCATTTTCTTTGCTTTGTTTTGCATGTATATCTCACAATAACATTTAGAAGGTTAATTTTTTTATCTTAGAAGTTACTTTTATAACTATAACTTTGGTTGGTATTTATAGACTTTCTACCATGAGCAATAAAGGAATTTATATATTTCTTCTTCCCCACCACTTAAGTGATTGTATTATCTTTCTTAGTATTTTTCTTTGTACTGCTAAATGTACTTTTTACTTCTGACAGTTTCTAAAGTTCTAAATACATTCAGACCATGGTAAATTTTTCCAAGAGGGTTATTTTTAGATTTTATTCTGCCCTACCTCCACTACCTCCCTCCTCCTCCTAGGCAGTCTCTAGTCACTTCAGCCAGGAAAAGTGGTGGGCACCTGACAGCTGCTGCCTCCACAAGAGACAGAAGTAAAACAGGTTCTGTCATAGCCTGAGACTCTAATTAGGGGACACTCAGAACATCCTGCTGGAGCTCTCTAAAAATAGCATCACTAGGCTTACACAACCTAGAGCCCAGGGCATAGTCTCTTCTCTTAAGGTTCTTAGGCTGAGCTTAGGGCCCCATCAGATAGCAAAAACCTCTTGATGGAGTTTGGATGTATTGTCCTCCCAGAACTCATGTGGAAATTTGATCTCCAGTGTGCCAGTGTCGGAAACTGATTGAGTCATGGGGGGGGGGGATCCCTCATGAATGGATTAATGCTCTCCCTGGGGGAGTGGGGATTAATGAGTGAGTTCTCACACTATTAGTTCCCGCAAGAGCTGGCTGTTTAACAGACCCTGGCACCTCCCCTCTCTCTCTCTCTTGCTTCCTCTTGCCATGTGATCTGCTTGTACCTGCCAGCTGCCTGCCACTTTCCGCCATGAGTAGAAGCAGCCTGAGGCCTGGGCCAGATGCAGCTGTTCCAAAATCATAAACCAAATAAACCTCTTTTCTTTATAAATCACCCAGTTTCAGGTACTTTGTTACAAGCAACATAAACGGACTAATACCCCTCTTTATGCCTAGCTTTCTGTTATGTACAAGACTGAGTTCATGGGCATCTCATCCCAATATGGGCAAATATTTTCAAATTGAACAGTTTTAGAAGAAATCCTGACAGGGACCTTAAAGGCTCTTCCACCCCCAGCCAACAGTAGCTTTCATTTATGGTTAACCACGGTCACACCCTTACCATTCCCCTTCCCTTTTCTCAAATGTCATTTCTCCAGTGGGTTCTTCCCAGTCTCCAGATTTCAGGCCAAAGGAAACAATATTACCAGATGGCCACCTAGTTGAGAGAGAGCCAGCTTTGATAAGACTGATGTCGGCAAAGATCTTTTATCTCTTGTGCTTGGAAATTTTTTGTCCCACCAGAGAACGGACTTGGTGTCTATTTCCATTCCTGTCCTTACTTCTGTTTCTTTTCAGCCCCATATCTCATACCCCATCTATCCTGGGTCTTCAGCCGGGCATGTTAATGATAAGTTACAGGAGAGCGAGGCATCTTGAGAGAGGCAGGAAATACATTTGAAGAAGTCTTTTTGGTGCCCCTGGAATCAAACTGCATTGTAATGTCCTGACCAGAGAAACCACTTCCCCACTGGCAGGACAGGCAGAAGATCATGCAGCACAAACTCTGTACCAGAATCTTTTCAGTTCACATGCAAGTGGTTAGTCAAACTTGGGCCCTTTTCTTCTCCGCTTAACCATTAAGAGCTCACATATGATCATTTAGGATTTATTTAGCCCAAAGTGTAATGGCAGAAGAACCAGCATGGGGTGGGGGGCGCTTCCCAAGACACGTCAGTCATGTCTGAGCGTCATTTTTGCTGTCAATAAAGTCAGGACAATAGATTTGATCCTAAAGACTCTAGCTGCTCAAATATCCTAAAGATGTAGGGCATGAGCTGGATGGATGGATGCACAGGACCCCTGGGGATGGTCCCCATGAGTGTACAGTGTGGCAAGCTGCTTAACTGGGTGGAGTTTGACTACCAGGTGGATCCTGAACTGGCTCACAGGGAACCCCTCCACCCTTGTCCCCTCCTGGGAAGATGACTGTGGCATATGTCACAGGCTTGTGGCAAATCCGGGCCTTAGGAGGCAGAGGAGGCAATGAGGATGGGGCTGGGGGTGAAGGTTTCCCTGATGGAGGATCAAGAGGTAGGCTGCTATAGGTGGTATTGTCAAAAGAAGGTGGCGAGTCGAGCCTGACATATGGTATGTCCGAAGGCAATTCAGCAGCCAGTCCAGAGTCACTGATATGGCAGACTGCTGAAGAAGGGACCTGTAACAATAGTAGGCAAATCAGGCAAAGAGTGAATGCCTCCCTCTGCCCCAGTTCCCTTGATGGGAACCGCCACTGGATCTATCTCTTGAATCCTGAGTATGTCAGTGGGCAAGAGGTCTTCCCTTTGAAGATTTTCAAGCCCCAAGTTTCTCCCCAAATCTGGGAAGGTGGGATACCAAGGGAAACCATTAGTGCCACATTTACAGCTTTAGGAAGAGGGTTCAGACCCCCATCTGGGTTCCAGTTCTTTCTCCATCCCATCATTTTGGGACCTCCCAGTGAGTGTGATGAATGGAGGGTCTGGGGAATTTGGCTGGGGCCTGCAGAGTCCTCTTACCGTGCCTGAAACTCTGCTGCTCTGGGATTGGCCACAGACACCACGCCTATTTCCTGGCAGGACAGACAACAGCAGCACAGTCTGCTTCCAGGGCTGGCTCAAAGCCTGTCAATTTACCCCCTTCAGAAGTCTCTGAAACCTCTTTCATACTGCAGACTCATCTTCCCTACTCCCACCACCATACCTTTATTCCCTCTGTCTCCCCAGCCCCCACCCCACCCTGCCCTATGTCTCCCCACCCACTTACGGCTTCCACCACGCCCTTAAGCCTGCCTCGAAACAACCTACCTCCTGAAACCCTTTCCCCCACCTCCTCCATCACTTTTCCTCCAACCCCACTGCCCTATTCTTTCCAGTTCCTGATTTCTGCTGTCCTCTCAGTTTCCCCAGGCCTGCTCCCACTGAATCACTGAATCTCCTTCCCTCCCCTCCATCTCTCAGCCATGGGAATTTAGGGTGTGGGAGTCTTGACTAAAGCCCAGACAAGTCCATTTGTAGCAGGAGTGGACATAGACTCTGGGCCCCATCCACATAACTGGTTGATATAGGACAAGTAAGAACAGGCCGGGATAAGTGGATGGACAGCTACCTACCTTTCCTTTTAGCCATCACGGCAAACAGCACCACCGCTGCCACCAGCAGGCCCAGCAGGAGCACAGCACCCCAGATCCAGGGGACACTGAAGGACAGAAAGGGAGAGGCAGGCTTAGCTCTTAACTCTTTGGGGAGCTGTTGGCCAGAAGCCCTGGACCATTGGCTGATGGGTCATATTGTTGATGGAATGGAATGAAGAGGGAAGACTCAGGCAGAGCAGAAGGGAGACACATCACGGTGTCCTGGCCAACGATCCACTAGGGTGAAGGGACCATTGCTGAACTGCGATAGAGAGGTATGTCTGTCTTTCTGTCTGTCTGTCCAGAAGTTCCCTAGGGGTGGAAGGAATCATGTTTCTCCCTTTGATTTGGTCTGGGGCTCTAAAGAAGTCATATCTTCACCACCACCCTTCTCCCAGCCACCTAAATCCAGTTTGTCAGTACCTCTTCTCATCCTGTCTGGGTTCCAAAGGGCTGGCACTGCCCACAGGGTCTGAGGAGGGATCCTCAGACAGACTTCCGACTTTATAGGTCTCTTCTGCCTCCTTCTCCTCTTCCTTTTCCTCCTTGTCCTCTCGCAAGTCAGGAACTGAGTCAGAAGGAAACATTTAATGAGTACATACCCATTGTGTGCAGGCTTCAATGGCATGTTGAGGTCTAAGTTACTGGGGAAGTGAAGCCAAGGAAGGAGAGGTCCCCAGGAAGAAATACAAAGAAGGGGAGGCTGGGAATGTTCCTTAGGGGCCTCTCATTCTGTGGGTCAAGAAATGGCACCTATACTTTGTCTTTGCCTGGTTGTGAATATACCCACTCTCCCCTCTACCACCAGCTCCCACTACCTTTCCCCTGCATTTCTTTTCCTTCACTTGCTTCACCTCTGGTCTTATCAGGCTGCTCAGACTGTACAGCAATACCCACTGGGTAATCTGTGCCCACCTCCTCTTCCCACCCCAGAATAGGTTCTCCAGCTTTCATCCTCAATGGTGACCTTGCTCTCATCGGTCTCAATCGGGGCCTCCCCAAATACTTGCAACCCTGTGACCACCACCTGCAGGCTGGCTGAGCTCCATTCCAAGCTCTGCCCTCAGGATTAAGGAACTTTGGGTCAGCCCTAATGTGATGCAATACCAATGGACCCTTGCTAAGAGCCTTGCTGGCATCCTGAGACTCCATTTTGTGACAAAGCTTCTGTCATCCCTACAGCCTGCTAGACTTATGGCTGTAGGCCTCACAGTTGGCTTCTCTGGGCCTGGAGATCTGCCCTGGGAACCTGGCCAGTTCTTCTAGACTGTCTGGGATGAGAGCCTTGCCTTGTTCTTGAGAGATTTCATCATTCCTACTCCCCACCCCATGCCATAGCAGGAAGGTGCTATGGCCCCAATCTTGCTGCACATGTCCTGCCTTCCTGGTGCCTACTAGGCTGCCTTGGACAAGCCTCTCTGACACTAACTAAATACTTGCTTGAGCTTCAAGCTGCATTCTCTCTGGGTACCAGGCTCCACCTGCCTGCCTGAACATCCATCCTCTACCGCACCAGACCAGAGGCCCAGGTACCTCCCTGCCCCCTCTTCCCGGTGAGTCTTGTCTGGCCACAATTTGCCTTTTACGGAGTCCAAACCTTGTGTAGTAACTCAGAGTGTGTCAAGGAATGAGGAGTGTTGACAAAGGAGGATGAGGATTAACAGGAGAATATTTATAATATAAGACAATAATCATGGACTTGAGATGAGAGTGAGACTTAGTCTGCCCTCTTACTTAGGGGGAAAAACCAAGAGGAAGGAAAAATGCCTTTCTTAATTTTATTATCTGGGGATTGGGCACAAATTACTTGAGAACAGGGAGACCTAAACATGAAAAAATGTCAGTATCCATAAAAGAAAATTAGTAGCAGCCTCTGCTTCAGGTAGCTGACCATTTTCCTTCCAAAACCTTTTTCTTTAGCACATCCTATTTTTCTGAAAAAAATTTAATATTCTAAAACTTTCTTTTAGTAAGTGCTTAGATACTAGAAAGCTGTGGGCTGTGAAAATAAAACCTATAAAAGTAAGGTGTTTTCTATATCGAAAACAGCTTTGAGAATGTCAGCTTAAATATTAATGACACTTTTCCTGTTTTTAAAACCAAATGAGTTGAAGTAGCTCAGCCATTGGATGTACCCTGCCTGTGGGTGAGACATAGTAGACGCTCAGTGAAGATGTAAAATTAAGACACAAATTCAGTAATTTTTAAGCCATCAAGCCCATTATTACAGGAATAAAACACTGGATGCTATAAAAAATTAATTCTAGGTTATATGCCCGAATTCAATTTTGTTTAGAACATTTCTAAGTGAAAAAAAAAAGATAGAAACAAGTATGTAAAAATGCTGGACAACAAGGCCAAGAGGTGGGAAAGGAGGCCATGCCTCCCCGTGGGGAAGCCTGCTTGCGGGGGAGGGGGAGGGGGTGCTTTCCCGCTGATTTATCTCAGACTTCCCAACCAGTTTGGTTTCCGCTCCGAAAATGCTGGACAACAAGGCCGAGAGGTGGGAAAGGAGGCCACGCCTCCCCGTGGGGAAGCCTGCTTGCGGGGGAGGGGAGGGGGTGCTTTCCCGCTGATTTATCTCAGACTTCCCAACCAGTTTGGTTTCCGCTCCTTTTCTTTCTTTCTTTCCCTTCCTCTTTTTTTTCTTTTTTGGGGACCCTGGGGAGGCCAGGCTAGGGGCAACCTATTGGCAGGTTAGGGCAGACCAGGCCACAGGGTCTCTTAGAAGCAGGCCAGGCTAGGCCACAGAACAACTAGGAGGGTTAATTTTTTGTTTGTTTCTTTGTTTCTTTCTCTTCTTCCTTCTTTCTTTCTTTCTTGGGGGCAGGACAGGCCTAGGGGGCCCTTAGTGGCAGGGCAAACCAGGCCAAACCAGGGGGTCTCTCAGAGGCAGGCCAGGCCAGACCAGGGGGGCCCTTGGAGGTTCTTTCTTTCTTTCTTTCTTTCTTTCTTTCTTTCTTTCTTTCTTTCTTTCTTTCTTTATTAGTCCATTTTGTGTTGATATAACAGAAATACCTGAGACTAGGTGATTTATAAGGAAAAGAGGTTTATTTGGCTTATGATTATGGGACAGCTGCATCTGGCATGGGCCTCAGGCTGCTTCTACTCAGGGCAGAAAAGTGGCAGGCAGCTGGCAGGTACAAGCAGACCACATGGTGAGAGGAAGCAAAGAGAGAGAGGAAGCAAGAGAGAGAGGGGAGGTGCCAGGGTCTTTTTAAGCAACGAGCTCTCGCGGGAACTAATAGAGCGAGAACTCACTCATTAATCCCCCCTCCCCCAGGGAGAGCATTAATCCATTCATGAGGGATCCACCCCCATGACTCAATCAGTTTCCAGCACTGCCATATTGGAGATCAAATTTCCACATGAGTTTTGGAGGGGACAACACATCCAAACTCCATCATGGGGTCCCTAGGAGAGACTGGGATGGGGCACCTTTAGTGACAGGACAGTCCAGGAAGGTCCTAGGGGCAGGCCATATCCGGGGTGCCCTTAGTGGCAGGCCAGAGTGGGGGGGGCTTAGCAATGTTTCATTTATACTTGGCCAGAAAATTTTGTTTTTCATTAAATTATCAAACTTATTCATGAAATGTGTATTTTATAATTATCCTTATTTTTGTAGTTTCTTCAGTCTACAGTTACATTTTTTCCCACTCCTACATTTGTGTGTTTTTATTTAAGTCAAGCTTATTTAATTAAAATAAACACTGAAAGTGAGTACAGGTTTGTGTTAGGTTTTTATTATTCAAATAAACAGCTTTCAGATTTATTAGTCTGTCAGTTCTGTCATTTTCCCCTCTCCTAATAAATTGATTTCATTTTTTTGTGTTTAGTATATCCATTCTTCTGTGAATATTAGTTTTATTATTATTTTCTTACCTTCTTATGATGAATAAGTAGTTTTAGAATATTTTGATATTTATTGTTTAATAATGACATATAAGGGTGTGAATTTACTTTAGAAAAGAAATTTGACTTTATCTGCTTTATTTTAGCAATTTGACTATGATGGACTTTAGTATGATTTTCTCCTCTTTTCTTTCTTATTTCCAGTTGGGGTTTGCCTATCTAATTGGGGTTCTTTAATCTGTGGATTGATGTATTATACCCATTTTGGAAAGTCCTCAGCAATTACACCTTCAGTGATGGCTTCTGCCCCCTTCTCTCTCCCCTCTCTGTCCCCTCTGAGTCCAATTAGACATACACAGTTGTAATGAGGCTCATCCACCTCTGGTTCTTTCCTCTTCCTCAGGGAAGGCCCTTCAGGGATTTGGATGGAAATTCTAGTAGGTCACTGGTCAACCATGAAAGGCTGTGGCAAATCCACTTGTGACCTTTGGAGGTTTCAGCTTGCTGCATCAGCACCCACGCCCTGCAGCTTTAAAATGTGGCAAAAATCTTGAGATCAATCAGCAACCCTGTCCTTCTGGGGAAACATAATCTCCCAAGCACGTTGAGATTCAGGAAGATTTTACTATGACTTGTAGGAAACCTTGGCCTGCCTCCTCAGTCTACTATGTTCATCTCCAGAACACACAGAATGTCTTGTAGAAAACACCAACCACATCGTGAGACAGGAGGTGCTCAGTTTCCCTGGGTCCAGGTTTCCAGACATGCATCTGGGTTTCCAGCCACTCCTCAAGGTCTCAGGCCCCTCTCCGAGGCCCTCCCCTACAGGAAATCTACTGTTACCCATTGGACCTATTTTCAGCACCAACATGGGGAAAATGAGACCACAAAGGGCTGGCTTATGCAAATCCAGTGGCTGGGCATGCTCAGTAGAAAGGGTTTATATAACCCTGGTAGCTGAATGACCTTCCACTACAGGAGCTAGAGAGCACAGAATATTCTCAAATATGTCTGGTGCCTGTGGTAGGATTTGACCAATGAACATGCTCCTAGAAGAGACCAACTGAGTCTGTGGAAGACTATGTTACACAACTGGGAACCACCCTTTTCATTGAATGTTCATTAAACAGTGAAACTATAAAAGCCAGATTCCAGCAGAAGGAGGAGCTGCTGCACTTTTCTGGAGGCAGCCCACACTCTGCCTGTGGGGTGTGTATTTCTTTCTCTTTGTATCAAACTTACCTTC